CCGCCCCCCGCTCCGCTCCCTTCCCCGTCCCTTCCCCCGCCCTGCTCTTTCCAGCCGTCTCCGTCTGAGTCTGGGTTCTGGGTGTGATTAGCCGTCTCGCACGCCTCCACCCCCTCGGGAGGCCTGTCGGGCTCAGACGAGCCAGCAACTTTCTTGCGGGGATCTCTGGGTAGTCTCGTCGTCTGCGAGCCGAGTGTCGGCTCGGATTTGCTGTGCTGATGGGCCCCTTGCAGACGTGAGGCAGAGAGCTTAAGGAATATAGCTAGGGATAGGGGTTGAGGAGGTGAAGGGTCAAGAAGGAGGAGGAGGTCTGAGGGGCAGGAAGGGGAACGAGGAGTTAAGGAATTACGGATATTGCGGTTGTGTCGGTTACGGGTAGGAGCAGGCCAGTTCCTATCGAGACGATTTGCGACTGTGTCGGAGGACGCAGGAGGATGGAGGAGGGAGCAGGGCAGCGGGGATTGGCTCAACATCGACACCCATCCCCTCCAACCCACCCATATCGAGGAGCGAAGTTGAGCCCCCCCCGAACAACACAAAAGCACAGGGTGAACGCCTGGACCAGAAAGCAAATGAGGCGTGCGTGAAAGAACATTGCAGCCCGCGCACATGAGTCACACTCCTGATTTGCAAGTAGTTCGGGTTTGATTTTGTGAGGAGTTTGGGTCTCCTGCTCCCCCCACTCCTCCCCCCCGCTCCCTTCCCCCGCCCTGCTCTTTCCAGCCGTCTCCGTCTGAGTCTGGGTTCTGGGTGTGATTAGCCGTCTCGCACGCCTCCACCCCCTCGGGAGGCCTGTCGGGCTCAGACGAGCCAGCAACTTTCTTGCGGGGACCTCTGGGTAGTCTCGTCGTCTGCGAGCCGAGTGTCGGCTCGGATTTGCTGTGCTGATGGGCCCCTTACAGTCGTGAGGCAGAAACCTTAAGGAATATAGCTAGGGATGGGGTTGAGGAGGTGAAGGATGGAGGAGGAGGAGGAGGTCAGAGGAGCGGGAGGGGGAACGAGGAGTTGGGGAGTTACGGATATTGCGGTTGTGCCGGTTACGGATAGGAAAAGGCCAGTTCCTATCGAGACGATTTGCGGCTGTGTCGGAGGACGCAGGAGGATGGAGGAGGGAGCAGGGCAGCGGGGATTGGCTCAACATCGACACCCATCCCCGCCAACCCACCCATATCGAGGAGCGAAGTTGAGGCCCCACCCACCCCTGAACAACGCAAAGGCACAGCGTGAACGCCTGAATCCGACAGCAAATGAGGCGTGCGTGAAGGAAAATTGCAGCCCGCGCACATGAAAAACGTTCCTTATTTGAAAGTGCGGGCCTGATTTTGTGAGGTGCTTGGGTCTCCTGGGGCCTCTGGGAGCGAGCAGCTCGGGCGGGCCCTGGAAGTGCCATTCGGGCCCCGAGGCCTGAACGGCAGGTCCATTCGGGCCCTGAGGCCTGAATGGCAGGTCCATTCGGGTCCTGAGGCCTGAATGCCCCCCCTATTCGGGTCCCCGGGACCCGAATTGCATGTCCATTCGGGCCCTGAGGCCTGAATGGCAGGCCCTGACAGGCCCATTCGGGCCCCAGCGCCTGAATGGCCCCCATTCGGGCCCCAGCGCCTGAAGGTAATAGCTTCAGATTTAGGGCCTAACGCATGCGATTTGGCGTGCAATCGAGGCGATCACAAGACAAAAACTGCCCACTAAATGGCAGAAAAACAACGAAAACGCCTCGTTCAGAACTCGAAAAGGGGAACGATATCCAGAGAACGATGGTCGAAATCGAGTGGATAATCGTAGAGATCGGCACGCGCACGATGCCATCAGCTGCATAATCGGCAACAACATCAGCATCGGCATCGTCAGGCAGTGGTGCGCCACGGTTGCTGATCGAGGGCACCTTGCAATAAACACACAAGCTATCACCAACAAAACACCATCAATAACGTCATCCGTTGCCTGTTTTGGCTCAAACCTGTTGCGAATCGAGGCGAGCGCCTGGCATCATGCGGCACCAGTGGCACCAGGGAACCTGGGCGCCGCGGGGCATCTCCGAATGAGCTTGATGGAGAACTACCACCGAGTCTTGGCCGTTCGCACACCAGAGCATGCAGCCATGTTCTTCGACGGCGGCGACACTCACAATGGTGGTCCAGTCTGCTGGGAGGTGATGCAGTCCAAAACAAATTACTTCAAGCATGGTGACCAGGTCTACATCGCAGAAACTACCACTGGCTTCTGCTCGCGCAAGGAGGAGACGCTATGCAAGCTCCATGGGATTGCAACGTTCAACTGTGTCAGGACCATCAGCGAGTCCGAGTTCACGAACAATTTCACGAAGCACAGGGTGACAGAGGCGGTACTGAACAACATAATTGGTAAGGACAAGCGGAAAGGGAAGGTCATCGTGGTTGAGTTCACCGACGCAAAGAAGCTGGACGAGCAACTCTTGGTTGCGCTGAAGATAAACAAAGCTAGTAGGGGCGCAACGTTCTTGCGAAGGCATGCCGTTCCAGCGGGTGCATTCAAGGCTACTCAACAACTGTTGTCCTTCCCGCCCGCAGCGCGCAGTCGTCCAGACGACGGCCAGGGCGACGCAGTCGACGACGGGTGCTCGTGCTCGTCGTCGCAGCAGCAGATCACACCTGAGCCACCGCCACAGCTGCTGGAACTGCCAGAGCCTGAACCTCAGCAGGAGCTGCCGCCAGAGCAGTCCCAGTCCGAGATGAGCGTCGTCCAGGAGGATGGTGGCGAGAATGATTCCAAGAGCGAGGCTGCTGAGGCCGAGTGCGAGTCTCACCCATCGGCGACCATGAAGATGCTGCGCGTGGACGATGAGCAGCAGGAGAAGCAACCTGATCTGGCTGATGAAGAAGCTCGCATCGCCAAGGCCGTGGAGGAGAATGGGGGCAACGACGTCAGCGACTACACCAGCGTGGCGGAGCTAGCGGAACCACCGACTGCTGACTTCGAGCGCCACGTCATAGACACGCTGCTGAAGGAGGAAGGAGGAGACGTCTTGCTTCGCCTCGGGCGCAGCTTGGGCGATAAGACGATGTCCACGGCTTTCAGTGGCATTGGCACTCCAGAAGTCAGCATGAACCTGTTGCACTTCCGGCTTCAAAGTATCCTGCAAAACGAGAAGCTGAATCGGCCCAAGATGTTGTCTGCCTGCGACATCAACAAGGATTGCCAGACGGAGCTCAAGATGCTGATGCAGGAGAACGGCGGCTGCGTATTCGGAGGCATAACCGACTTTCGGTCAGACGAAGCGGTGCAACTCATTAAAGACAAGAAGATCACAAACCAGAACGCGTTGAAGTTCCTCTCCCCTTTGGTGTTCGATGGTAAGGCTGTCAAGCTACAGGCGAAGTGTCATGCTCACAACTGTACCTGCGAGCTCAAGGAGGCAGACCGCCATGTGGCAGGCAACCCCTGCGTCGACTTCACACCGCTGGGTTCCCAGCAGGACGTGCTAGGACCGACCATATTCTGCACCATCCTCCGACACAACGTGAAGTGCATGGCTGAGGTTCCTCCGCTATCAAGGTTCCTTCGGAGGTTCCATACCATGTGCAAGTCGACGTGGCGCCATTTCTGCTGCATGCACAAGTACCCTCAGGACGCCTACGACAACCCCATCATCAAGGACGAGCTCAATGAGGAGCTGAAATGGGCGTCGACGGCAAGGCGCAACAGCTTAAGATACCAGAAAGAACCCCTCACCACGGACGATCGCGATGCCTTCTGGTTGTCTTTGAGCCCCTGGGAGCAGAACAATGTCAAGAACTATCGGAAGGCGTTTCCAGGAGCAGCGTGGTCATTGTCACAAGATGGTGCCACGCATCACCAGATGTCCTCATCTGGCGACAACATGCAGACTCTTGTGAGCAAGATGGGCCTCATCTTCGCCGAGCTGCCCTCTGGGAGCCGCTGGCTCTGCGGCACAGAGGCTCTGTTTGCGCAAGGCTTCCCAGTCAATCCTGCATTTGTACAGGCGCACGTCAGCGAGGGCGGCAAGGCTCTCTGCAGCTTCAACCTTCATAGGCCTCCCGACGAAGCGGCTCGCAAATGCCGCGTAGTGTGTGCAGAATCTGGCAATGCAATGCACGTGGCAATCATCATGCTCTCGCAAGTGTACTGCCTTCTACACGGCCAGTCCGCGCCCAAGAAACCAGTCCCCACGCCTGCGCGCCAGAGCCTTGAGCGAATCCGAGCCCTCAAGAGGAGGTTCGATGAGATGGCCAAGGGTTCTAAGTAGACTGCGAGGCGCATGGGGCCCGTGCGGCATGGACTAGAGAGGCGGCTGCAGCATGCATTTTGACGTGTGCTGGGAGTCTGGGGTACGCTGGTGGGATTCAACCGAGCGAGAGGGCGTCATCATCAACATCAGCATCATCATCATCACCATCATCATCATCATCACCATCATCATGAGCATCAGCATCAGCATCAGCATCACCACCACAAACACCATCATCATCACCATCCCGTTCAAAATGGTAAACATCATCATCCCACAATCCCGCACAACAGAGAATACTGCTGAAGAGGGGTAGGGGTGCCCAGTCAGAACTTCGGAGCTTTGCCCAGGAGCCAAGCCGCCTCAGAGATGAGGAGATGAGGAGGATCTAGGATAATGTGAAGCAGGACGCCCAAGCAGGAGGGTAGAAGGGAAGGATGAGCAAGCGAGCAAGCGGAGGAATATTTGCAAGAGGTTGATGTAGCAGAAAGGGGATGCTGTCAAGAACAACAAGATCAACAATAATAGCATCAAACATATTACTGCCTAACATACAACATACAGCACACTAGCACATCGTCATAGCGGTTAAGGCTCAAAGCTCGGGCGATGTGCTCAGATGCACCGATCCCAGGGCTGATTCTGTAGAGGCCTCCAGAGATCCAGAGACTCAGAGACCCGAAGGATGGCCGAGAGTGTCGATCAGCCAGCAGCGTCTTCAAGTGCCAGGGCCTCTCTCCAAGCAGCCCGAAACATCATTTACCGCTCGGACCTCTCCATGAAGGAACGCTATGGCCCCCAAGGCGGGCAGATCTGGGAAGATGGCGTGTGGGCCGACTTCGAAGATAAAGATGGCCCTGTCACAATCCCATGGTACAACGAGGCAAGCGGGAAGAACATCATCGCCGCGGACGAGAACCGGCCATTGCAGATGGCCACCGTGGAGGAGTACAAGGAGGGGATCCTCTCAGACGGCCTGAATCAGGGTTCTCGCGGTGCGCCGTGGATGCAATGGGGTCCTAGCAAGACTTTTCCTGTTCGAGCCCTCACGTGGAACCACTTGAAAGAAGCTTTCTACAAGGCTCACGCTGAACAGCCCGATAATCCATATGTTCAGATTGCTCTCAAGGCTGGTCTGAAGAACGCGCGGATGCTGAACTCGGGGAGCCAGGGAGCACCTTTCGAATTCCACCATATCTTAACCAAGACGAAGAATTTCAGAAGAGTTCGAGATGGCTTCGACTCGAAACCATTTCGAACTCTTCTGGCGGTCTTCGTCTTGTGTTAGAGGGAAATCGAAGGAAGGGCTTCCTGAGGACACCCAGAAATGTCGTGGAATTCATGTGCAATCGCCACAACAAGTACCACAAGGGGAGCAAGACCACCTTCGAGCAGATGATGAGTGTAGCTGTGCATGCTGAGGCCCAGTGGACAGGAAATAAAGATGGAGTTGACGCTTACAATCCCGACTACGAGAAACTATACCGCAAGTGGGTCTCCGAGAACGCAGATGAGCCCATGAATAACTGGCCGCTTTTCTCGAGCACCAAGGGCCTGTGCCACAAACTCGACAGATTCGACATCCAACCTCAATTTCGCAAATGGTGCAACAAACACGTCCGGTATCTTCACGAGAAGCTCGATCACAAGGGGGTTTTGCACATCATGAATGCGATCGGCGTCAGCGTTATCAAGCACATGCCACCGAAAGCAGGAAAGAAGGACACCGGCATCGTGTTTCTGGAGGCTCTTGCTCTTGCGTTACCTGTTCGGCCTTCCGATGAGCAGCGGAGGCTCCCATGGATAATCCAGTCGATGGACCACGTCCACCTGATGAGCGCGCTCGGCGTGGACATGACAGAGAGCGTCGCATTCAAGCAGAGACAAATCGAGAAGGAGCAGGCCGAGAAGGGCGGCAAGGAGGGAAGCAAGACGAAGACAGGAAAGGGGAAGCAAAGGAAGAGCGGATCCAGCAAGCCACCTCCAGCCAAGAAGGCGAAGACGACCGCTGGCCAAGGGAAAGGAAGCAAATTCACCTTCTTCAGCGAGATCATCGACATGCTGCAGGTGGGCACTGACGCCTTTATAGCTGAGAATTGAGAGTCAGGTAAGCTGGACGCTACGCTGTCGCAGGACCTCGACATGATTTACCACAAGACAACGAGCTACTCTTTGGAGTTCGCATGCAACGGCATCGTGACTATCCACAAGGAGATCAAGGCGTGGTCTGTGTGCAGAGGTGCATTGTTGGGAATGTACACGAGCAAGGCGACCAAGAAGGATTACAGCGAGGACGTCGAGATGATTGAGGGGGTTCAGCCTGTCGTGTACGACGGGGAGAAGGACAAGTCCATGGATGGCGGCGCCAACCAGAATCCCGACGAGAATGAGCTCGTTTCTCTCTTGGCGGGCGACAAGGAGGTCTGTGACAGGTTGACTGGGATCTTGAGCGACATCGCGGGCGAGGTCCCCTTCCCATACCACCGCGAGATCCGCAAGGCTACCGACCAGATCCAAGACATCAAGGCGAAGTTGGTCTCTTCGACTACCTTGCCAACGTTCCTGAGCGCGTGGTCCGAGGTGCTGTTCTCGATCCTCCATGAGAAGATGATTCATATCATCAACCGGCTGTCTGTGCACGACCCAAACGGCCAGTACATTCCCGCCATCAAGGACGAGGCTTCGCTCGAGCACGCTCTTTCCCTGCGCCCTCTGTACATGATGCAGGCGCTGGTGGCCGCCTTGGATGCGGGGGCAATCCCTGCGGGCCCTACCTTCAATTCGCTGATCGACCTCGTCTCCGACACCAAGATCAATGCGAAGGGGACGGCGCGCGAGTGCAGCATTGACTCAGCGATCGTTGCATTCGACCTCAATTTAGATACGAAGGAGACGTGGGTGCAGAAGTGGGTGGAGGTGGTGACCATGGCATCGTCGATGGACCAGCTGACCCGCATCGTCAACGAGAAGGTCGACGACAAGGAACAGGAGGCCAAGCCCGAGGTGAAGGAAATGGAGACGGCGCTGGAGCGACTGGGCAGGGCTGTTCGAAATTGAACGTACCAAACAAACGCACTGGAAACTATATCGATCTCCCGGGGTCGCAGTCGCAGTTCGAAACATGTCGGAAACCTGAACACTGGTAAACGGTCCCTTGGGTCCCGTGAGCGAGTTCAGGGACATTGTCTGGCCCAGTGGGCCAGCGCTGAAGGTGTTTCGAAAATTTTGTCTGGGATCTACGTTCGCTTTCGCAGCCTTACCTCGAGGAGCAAACCGTAGACATCGTCGAAGCGGAGCCAGAGGCGCCGCAGATTGCACAAGTCAGCCTGGAGCATATCATGGGCCTCGAGGATCCGAATGTATCCGCCGCTAAGGAGTCCGTCGACGTCCTAGAGCTCGGCTTTGATGGGAAGCGGAATTTCACGATGACTGATGTGAAAGTGTTCGAGAACAACATTTCAAACCTCTACTGGCGCAGGCTTGCTGAGAAAAACGACACATGGCCCAAGATCGTCTTTCGCAAGGCTGTTGGCAATAAGGCGGCGACCGAAGTGGTGGCTCTTCAACGGCAGATGCTGGACCCGAACACGTTCGTGATGCCGTACGCTGGTGAAGTCACTTGCACGCCCGCCAAGGACGGCATCCCTGTGTGCCATGTTCTTGGCATGCAATTTTTCCTCGTTCCTGGAAATACAGGTTCGGTCGCCTCAGAAGCACCCGTCCCGGCGTGAATCGTGAAGACTGTTACTCGTGCAGATGCAGCTACCATGGTCCGCCACGACGGCACGTTCACCGCGTACATCGACTCCAATCTGAACATATTCGAGAACAAGCCCGAGGTCCAGAAGCTGATCCAGATCGAGTTCGCCGACCCGGTGCTCAAGCTGAAGGAGGGAGAAGTGCTGGCCAAAGGCGACATCGTGCTGACGCGCACGCTGACCGACACAGAGAAGACGCAACGTGCTACGAGAAAGTTCTTAGGCGGCAGCCTCAAGGATGATGGCTCCGTGGCCCTGCCGACGGTTTGCGACATGATCGAGGATAAGTTGAAGGCCTTCGCAGACGGCGGGAAAGGCACCACACAGTCCAGGGAATCCAAGGATTCGAAGGAGGCGGCGGCGAAGTTCGTGGACCCAAAAAATGTCAAGCACCTCTTGAAGTGAGGTGAGGCTTTGAGGAGACGAGTCGGAGGCTCTGAATGACACTGGCACGCAGTGCGTGCGGGATCGGATCGGGCTGACGCCCCCTCTCGACAGACAGCAAAACACAACGAACAAACAAACATTCCAACTAGCAATGATCATAAGAGACAAGGTCGCAAAACTGCACTAAACCAAGCAGCAATGAGCAGCAAGCAGCACTAAACCAAGCACCAACCAAGCAGCAAGCAGCCAACTGCAACAGCAATGACAGGGAAAGGGCAGATGAGGGAGGGAAAAGAGACAGACTAGAGGAGCAGGGCGACTGCGGGCGGATGATGGCATGACGATCGCGACGGGGAGCACGATGGTGAAGGTGATGGACACGAGGACGATTATGGCAACATCATGACGATGACAAAGGCAATGATGATGAGGATGCTGATGGTGAGGAGGAGGATGAAATGGTGGCAATGATGATGGCGGTGATGAGGGTGATGATGTTGATGATGATAAGGATGATGATGCGGATGATGATGATGATGATGATGATGATGATGATGATGATGATGATGCTGATGCCGATGATGATGATGATGATGATGCTGATGATGATGACGATGATTCGGTTGGCGATGATGCTGGTCATGATGGAAAATATGATGATGCTGATGATGACAGTGCTGATGGTGATGATGGTGATGATGATGCTGATCGGGACAGAGCTCGGATCGAGCGCCGCGCGCGTCGAATGAGCAGAACGAACGAAGAGGCGGCCCAACGACCCAGACGAGCATCGCGGCCAGGGCGTCCTCTCCGCGCCTCAGTGGAGGCGACAGCACACATGACAGTCGAACGCGAACGGATCACGCGAGCAATAGCCATGCCAGAGCCTCATCTCCAACGACGAGGGCACGATGGACAGGAATCCTGACATTAGAGCCGTCGGGGCGAAAACCTCGCAAAAACCGATTCAAACGATCACGCTTATTCGGCTCTCGACGGAGTTGGGTTGGATCGCAAGGCAGCAGCAGGCCTCCACGAGCCGCGCCTCGCGAATAGGATCCGCACGCCGTGCACGCCACGAGCTCGCCTGCGACCCTGAGTCTGTGCCCCCTGCATGCCTCAGGCGGCACGGGGCCAGACTCGGGGAGAGGCGCAGCAGGTGGGGTTGCCGAATTCGCCCCAGGCTGCCCCCCCCCGAGACCTCTTTGGACGGGGGGCCGCACTCCCCGGTGGGCCCGCAGGCCTGGCCAGCGACCGACTGGGCGCGAGAGCTCCAGGGAAACCGCCAACCGCAGGCGGTGGTCCGAGCGCCTGATCGACGTCCTGGGGCGTCGTTCTGAACAGTGGCGACGCAGGAACTGCCACCAGGTTACTTGGGCATGGATTTTCTCCAGGGTGCGATCCAGCCGATCCCGAAGACGCAGAAGTCCGAGGCCGCACGACACGGGCAGAGGGAGCAGAGGCAGGGCGCCTCTGACCGCGTGACGGCGCGGGAGCTCTATAGGGAAATCCGCGCCGGCCCCACACGAGCCAGGATCCGTCGCCAGAGCTCCAGAAGCGGATCCAGCCGACGGCTTGGAGGACGAGGAAGGCACAGAAGCCGTCAGCGCAGCTCCAGTCATGAGCGCCGCGGCCGCCACCATCGCCTGGGGAGCGGTGGACGTGGCTGGACTGCATTCCGCCGGCTCGACGTCCTCGGCGAAACGCACTCGCTTGCGGGGAGGTTCATGGGCAGCCTGGGGCGGAGAAAAACCGACTGGGGCACCCTCCCCCCCGCCTGGGGCCGCCGAGCTCTGGCTCGACATGCCGGCATCCTGATTTAGGGCCGCGCCGAGGGCTGCGGGGGCGGCCGCGGGGCGCGGAGGAGGAGGAGGAGGAGGAAGCTCAGAGGCCCGCTCGACCACATCCCCCCGAGCCGCCTGGGCCCGCGCCTTGAGCTCCCTCCCCCTGCACGTCTGGCGGAGCATACGCGCGCGACCAGCCAACGTGCGAGCTTCACTAGCGCACCAGGCGCATCGCCACCACGAGGCAGCGAAAAACGGAGCATGAGCATAGGCGGGCGTCACGCATGGCTCACCACGGCGTCGCCGCGGCTGGCGCGTCCGCGGTTCTTGTGCTCGCGGCGGCCGTGGGTCGCGATCCGGCGCCAAGGCCCCAGACATCAGGCCGTCGTGCACCGCTGCCACCCAGCAGGCCGTCTGACGAAGGTGTCGAAGGAGGACCTTGGACTCCGCCTTCTGCTGGTCCGTGAAGCAGTGGAGCCCCGATCCCAAGCGAGCGAGCGCGTCCGCCCAGTCGTTGCCATGCCGATGCTGGTCGTTGCCGCTCTGGTGCCCACGGACGTGAACGATGCGCACGTCCGAGGAGAGGCCGCCGTGGTCATCCAACTTGGCCCACAGCTGCACCCACAGATCGCGATTCCAGCGCCTGGGACAATGCGCCCACGCGCGCCGCGCGCCAGGCCGAAGATAACCTCCAGGTGGTCCGTGTGGATGCAGAAGGGCGGAACGGCCACTAGCAGGACCTGAATGACCGCCCAGAGTTCGGCCCTGGGCGAAGATTGGACTGGCCCAGGCACCGCGCCGTAGTAGCCGCCGACGGCCCGGAAGTTCTCGAGGAAAACGAAACCCCAGCCCGCTCTCGCGGCCTGCGGGCGGCTCCAATGCTTCAGGGAGGAGCCGTCGGCGTAGATGGGGCCGGTGACCATGAAGCCTGGGGCTGCCAGCAGCGCGTGCCAGCGGCCGCTGTCGTCGCGGGGAGGAGGAGCAGGTAGCGAGGACAGCGGAAACAGCAGGCGCGCCCAGCGCGGATCGTTCCGCATGATGTGTGGCAGCCCGTCGATCAAGGCCTCATCCAAGGCCAGCTCCCGCTCGGGCTGGCACGGCTCGCACTGCCAGTAACAGTGAACTGATGTGCCAGGCGCGGCCCAGCATCGTCGACATAGCCCGTCGGCCGCGTAGCCGTACCTGTGCAGTCGAGCCTGGGACCAGGTGGCACCCGCGACGAGAGACCGGACGGCGCCGGCGCCAGAGTCTGTGAGCCTCCAGCGGGTAGTGGGCCTGTGCAGCAGCGCCGCGAGCGGCTCCAGCCAGTAGCCCTGCGGCTGCCAGCGCACTGGGCCCAGCTCAGGCGCGGGGTCGGGCGTGGCAGCCCAGCGCCGCCACATGGCGCGCATGGCGGACTGTCTCGCCAGCTGCTGGACCGTGGAAGGGGCCGCGATGCGTAGGTCCAACGCGTCGCCCTCGTCCGTGCGCCAGGCGAAGGCGGAGGGCGCGTCCCAGCCCAGGTCTCTCAGCGCCAGGCATACCGCGCCGGCAGGGCCCATGACCTTGCGCCAGGGGCGGGGGGCCAGCAGGACAGAGGGGGCTTGGAGCTGCCACGCTCGCTGCGTGTCCGACTTGTCAGTCCTCGGGTCCACGGCCATCGGCGCCCAATTGAATAAGGGCTGCGTCCACGCCGCCAGCTGCGGCTCGGCGTGGGCCCCTGGTTCCAAGCAGGCTGCCAGCCAAGTCGAAGAACCCGCTGCCAGCCGCCCCCGGCCCTGCCAGAGCATGCGTCGCATCATGGCGACCGCGGTCGGCGGGGCCCCCGTGGCAGGCAGACCGCGCTGGAGAGCTGCAGGAAGCGAGGCGCGCGTCAGACGGCCCAGCTGCGCGCCGAGGCCACGAAGTCGTCGAAAACGCGGCAGCCTGGCGCGGACCCGCCAGGCCCGCTTGCGCAGCGATGAGAAGCGGAGCCGTCTACCAGGGCGGGCCTCCACGCCCAGGAACTCCAACGCCTGGCAGGCTCGGAATCCGTGGCGCCGCAGGCGGCGAGCGACCTCGCGCGCGACCTGCATTCGTGAAGACGTGACCCGCGCCTTGTGCCGCGCAATGGGTAGCTCCAGATCCTCCTGCAGGACGAGGGCGAGCCGCTCCAAGAAGTCAGTCGCCCGCTCCATGATGACCCGCAGGGCCGCGCGGATCTGCACCGTCAAGTCATCAGCATAGATGGCCAGCGTCCGCGGCTGGTGCACGGTCAGGCGCATCAGCTCGTCCATGGGCGTGAGCATCGCCAGCTGCAGCAGTGCGCTGGCCAGCGCGCATCCAGGCAGGACGCCGCAACAGGCTTGGACCGCCCTGGAGTGCGCCGAGCTCCACTGGAGCCGGCGCGGTGCGAAGTACATGGCGAGGGCGGAACGAACGATGACCTTGGGGAAGTGGCGCGCCCTCGCCGCCAGGACAATGATCATCCAGCGGAGGCGGTCGTAGCATTTCTCGATATCAATGAGGGCCGTAACGACGACGTCCGAGTCCGCGTCGCCAGTGGGATGAGCCTCACCGTGGAGCAACACCCTGGAGGCCGTGTCGACTGCGGCCTGCCCCCGACCCAGCACCAAGTAGTCCCGCGTGCCGTAGTCCAAGAACCAACGCCAGACTTCGAGCAGCCGGGCACGCGCCCAGACCCTGTACAATGCCGTCAGCAGGGCAATCGGCCGGGAGCCGCCAAGGGCCTTGGGAAGAAGTAGTATGTGGGTGGACGTCATGGCGGCGGGCCATCGGCCCCACAGTTCACGCATGTAGAGCAGGTATCCCAGGAAGGCGATGGCCTCGTCGCTGAGAAGTGAGACCATGCGCGGGTGCAGCTGGTCGGGCCCCCAGCCAGTTCGCCACGGGAAGGCGCGCGCGGCGTCCCGCAGGCGCTGTGCGGACAGCGGCTGGGGGGGCTCCACGCAGCCGCGCATGATGTCCCGCAGCTGCTGGAACTCGCCCGCGTCCGCGAACTGGCCGCCTGCCGGGGGCGCCGCGGCAGCGGGCGGGACTGACGGGTCGCCCAGGCCCGCTGGGCGCTGCAGGGAGGCCTCCGGAGGCCCGACGAGGTCGCCGGGAGAGGCCTCGGGTGGGCCTTGGTCACCGCAGATGTCGTCCCAGGTGGCAGGGGCCGTGACGGAGTGGGCATTCCAGATCTTGGCCCACCCCTTCATCTGATGCTCGGCCACCGCCTGCGGTGACGCCGTTGGAGCGCCACCGTAGTTGAAC